AGGTAAATATTGGAGAAGCAAATATGATTGTAAGTTTGGTAGAAATTTTACTCAACTCTGAATGTCAATCATTAACTATTGCTGTCTTAACACCTTACCATAAACAGAGAGAGCAAATAAATATGTTACTGAGAAAAAAGTAAGAAGTTTAATTTTGTTTATTTAAATTCTCTATTAAAATAAGTGTTTTTAAAGGAAGATCTCATTAAACGTCAATACAATAGATTCATTTCAAGGTGGAGAATGTGATGTGTTATTGATATCAACAGTTCGTACTAATGGAGTTGGATTTATGGACGATATTTGTCGATTGAATGTTGCTTTAACACGAGCTAGGCAATCATTAATAATATGTGGAAACTTTATGTCTTTGAGAGTAAGATATTTTTATAAAATTATTATTTTTTGTCTTAACAAATTAACAGTAGTTTCTGTAATCCTTCAGCTACACGATAATCATTTCCTAACAGTAATCCAAATGATTTTATTTTTGATAGTAATGAGCAGTTATCTTATAAATTCACTAAATTCAACTGACAATCCTGATAAATCAATTAAAAATTATTTCCAAATATTGTAGGACTATTATACATTACAGGAAACAATATTATAAATCATTACAGGAAAAATAAAATAATAGATCATCATTGATGATGTTTGTTAACTCCAATAGTTTAACAACCCTTCATATGTAAAGGATTACACAAACTACTTTATTTATGTACTAATATTTGTATATACATAAGTATAAATATATTTATAGGGAGAACAAGTATGGTCTGATTTATTAGAAGATGCAAGAAAACGTAAATTAATTAAGAAAGTATCAAAAAAAGTCATAACTAATTCAAGGGTTTTGCTTGCTATGATAAAAATTTAATTATATTTGATATGTCTAGTATTTATTACAACCTTAAATATCAATATAATATTTTAATATTTTAATATTATATGAAATTGTTTTTCTCAACCCTATTTTCTGAATTTGTTTATAATTTATTAAATTTGTTATATCAAGAAATATTTTGATGATGTAATAATTACTAGGTACCTGAATAAAAGGTATATTTTCAAGAATATACCAATGATGTTTTATTTTTATTTTAAATATAAACAAAACGGATCTAAGTATATATACAATTATATTTATTTTATTACACTGATTTTATGTCCATTTTAATATTGTATGCATGTACACATTTACCTTAAATTTGATTTTGCTACTACTTGTTAAATATGCATTTTTTGTGTGTTTTTTTTTTATTGATTTTTAATTATTCTGCATTCAAAATGTTTCAGAGTAAAGTTATTAATAAATCCTAATTAAATTATAAACTTTATATTGGAACGAGTAGTTTCCTAGTTATTAAAATGTTTGTACTAAAGATAATAGTTCTTAAAAATCGTTTTACAATAGTATAAAATACACGTACTATTGGAACTAATATTTATGATACTTAGGTTGTTTTTACAAATTATTTATGTTGATAGATTAATATTTTCAAATTCACCATAGAYCACATAGTATCTTATTAACCTAAACCGTGGCCTTTTATTCTGAGAACACAAAGTTAAATAACTCAAAAACTACTCATTATAATTTTAATACATCAAGTTTTTAAGGCCATAGGATAATCCTTCAGTGGTACAAAAAATCTTAAGAATTTGAAAATATGGTCTTTCAGTACWTTCAAAGATTCCAAAAATCAGATTTTAAGTAACTTCATTATTAAAGAAAAAAAGGGGTAAGCATGCTTGGTGAATCACTCTGACACTCTGTGTCTGTATATATTATGTAAGTATTAAATTTTAAAGGACAATGTTTATACAAAAAAATGTATTCATTACATTTCTTAGTTATTTGATGGATCAAAGTATACCTTGACAATTATTTGATAAAAAATAATTATTTTTTTCAAGTTAATTTCGGTAGATTAGCTCCAGAAACAATCAACTGATAACTTAATGGGCCTGTGAAATAAGATATAGTGCTATATATAAATAGCTCAAAGAGAATAAAAATATTTAAAAATTTTACGATGTATAGGAAATGTTTGGGTACATAAATATTTAGAGAACATTTCAAATGTA